TAAAATATCTTATTGTCCCTTATGCGAGCAGGAATGACTGGTAGGGCTACATACGAGACGAGCCATTGAAGGCTCCTGACTTTCACTGGGCTATTGTTTTGAATTTCTTTCATGATGCAAGGAAAATGAGCGATAGGAAAATGTCAGAATTCCAAAATCCAAAATCACATTGAAAGGCAGAAAGTCGAACGCTGTCCAGAAAGCAGATATGCACCGATATTCCACCAATGGAGAACCAAAGCACCGAATCGCCACCACCAGTGTATGTATCCAGAGCCCTTCCTCCTACTTGGCGCTCAGCGCTCAGACTACGATCACGCAGCTACAACTCAGCCTACGAATTGACAATGCATCCTGTTGACGTCAGCAGCAAGAACCGAAGTACATGAAGATGTCGACTCTGTAGACCATTGCCAAGACCAGGTTCGCGCCCTCACATCGTCATCCTCATCTCTCCCTCACCTTTTTCACTCACGTCTTCATCATGCACGAAGACGACCACCACCCCGCCAGCTACACATCCAAGCTTGAGCCCAGCTATGGGGGCTCAGGTATGGTGCTGCCTTATTGCAGTGCCCTCGACCCGACGCCCGCACTGCGCCTTGACACTCCCGCTAGCGCAGCACGCAGCCCGTGAGCGCTCACTCCAGCAGCGCTGCCACATGCACTTGCAATTGCCGAAATACCTCCCACGGTGCCCAGCCCTTTCCTATATGGAAAGTGGCTGGCACGTTGCCACTTGCTTGCCCGTGAGACCGAGTTTCCAGGAGTTTCAGTCTCGGCCGTAGTGTCTGCGCCCAGGCCCGTTCAGACAGTGCCCTGGGACCGAATTGGTTCGGTGTGCCCAACCACCCAGGCACAAATGTGCGGTGTTCCCTGCTTCGACCACATTGCCGGAAGAGCCTGGAAGGCTCACGAAAATTTTTGATTCTCACGAGTAAGGCGGATGTAACCTACTGGCGCGCCAACCAAAATTTGCAAAAATGACGAGTTCAGGGCACATTGTGATTCAGAGGGCCCACGTTTACTTAGGGCGGGCGTAAGCTGCAGGGCCTTATGCCAAGAGGTAAATCCTCGCACCCGGGATTTGGGATATCTGGTTAGCTTCCTGTACCATTAGTTTGGACCGCCTGGTCTTAATTACTGGATCAGGGTCCTTTGTCTTTGACAGCATGCTGTACCCGAGTTTGACTGTGCAGTCCGGTTCCTGGACTGGCCTTTTGGGATTGGATCATTGGAGTTTTTTTTGGTGATAAAATAGGTCCTTATGGCCCTGGCTCCATATCCATTCTGGGAAGCACCAGTCCGGTTCCTATTCCTCCGGCAAGTCAAAAGTACAGCAAGAACACCCTCACGCTTCCTTCTGTTTGCCCAAAAAACCCCTGAGAAGCATTGATTGCTCCCTGTATCGGGAGGATTGACAATCAGCTTGCCCTGCCCCAAACCTGCCAGATTGAACCTAGAACCAAGAAAGGAATAAGAGATAAGGAAGTAGCAATCCGTGAGTTTGTTGGGGAATTCGGACTGGAGTGTGTTCGTTAGGTTGTTAATGAACTCAAGCTTGTGCGGTCTCCACCTCTCTGTCCATGAGGTTTATTTAAGCTGTATTGGATCCTGTGAATCTGCTGGTTGGGGCCTCTGCCTTCTGACTCCCACTTCGGAATTGCGCCAGTCTTTCCATCGTATGCTGCTACCTTGCCTCCTACCAGCCATATCCTTGTGAATTCTGCTAGGATTTTCTGCTGCAGGTCCAAATCGTACGGCATGGAATGCCTCGTGTTCTGCCACTTGGACAGAATCTCGGCCTGAATCATCAACCTTGCCGCCGCGCAGACGCTTTCTCTTGACGAGGAGAGGCCTTCAAGAGTTGTGCAACACCTTCCCTTCCATATAGACCAAAGTGTCGCCTTTCAGATCATGCCAAACCAGATCCTCTCTGTCTTATGGAGTGGGTAGGAATGTTAGTCTATAGGAGGAGTTGGACAGGGTGCTCGGGGAAGGGGGTGGGGAAAAGCGAGTCCCAAAGGTCGGATGCTCTAAGCCAGTACTCTGTCTGGTTTGGCACAGTCAGAAAGGTGACACTTTGGTCTGTATATGGAAGAAAAGGTGTTGCATAACTCGTGAAGGCCTCTCCTCCTCGAGAGAAAGCGTCTGCGCAGCAACGAGGTTGATGATTCAGGCTGAGATGCTGTGCAAGTGGCAGAAAATGGAGTGGATTTGTGAGTGTTGATATGTGGTGATTTCCTAATAGCAGGCACTCACAGGCGCAAATGAGGCATATGTTCCTCTTTCACACGCCTGTCAGCAAAACGCAATGGTGGATGTCGCTGCATGCAGTGGTGGAGAGTCAGTGCAGTGGTCTCGTGATATCGGTATAGTGACCGACTGTCATTCCATGCAGGGTTGTTTTCTGATTTGTATCTGACATGTAAGTGCACTTCAAGCAGATGGATGTGAGGGCAGTCCCTGCTCGACAACGAGCGCATCACCTGTTCTACTGACTACCATCTTCCCCCGAACATAACGCATCTGCGTTGCATTCTAGTTTTCCCAAAAAGCGGGTTTTTGGAAAGTTGTCTTTTCTTCAAATACAAGGGCACTTCGAATATAACGCACATTCGTTCTATTCTAGGAAGATTTTCATGACCGGCCGGACCAGCCGGTCACCCGGGCGTGACGCCTGGGTGACCCGGTCATGGCAAAAAAAAAGCGACAGTGGGGTTTTTCCGTGCTCTTCGAGAGGAGCCCAAATCCGGGCTCTTTTCTTTTCTTGAGTGTTGGCTGTCAAGGGGGGGAAAGGGGAGTGTAAATGAAATTTAAAGGGGCTAAAGGTGTTTAAAGGGGGGTGCCTTACTGTGATATGGTTATTTTCTTTTTTATCTTTAGTTCTATGAGGAATTCTGATGTGACCCTCAGCCAAAAGTTGTTTGTATTGCAATTCTACACAACATAAATTATTTTTCAGATTTTTTTGGATTTGATTTTTTTTTTATCATTATTATCTTTTTTTGCGCTGAGGCTGCCCGGGGCCATGCCCGGGGGTCATGCCCGGCCGGTCACCCGGTCGCCAATCCGGGCGAATAATACGCATATGTGTTATATTTGAATTTCACGACGAGAAAATTGTTGTATTCGAATATAACCTTTTTTTCCCCTCCGTAGGTCAATGCCTGCTCAGTTTTTGCCCTGGTGAATGGGACAGGCCCGTGCAGGCCCGTAATCACAGATCACTGCCCGCTCTCTCTCTCTCTCTCTCTCTCTCTCTCTCTCTCTCTCTCTCTCTCTCTCTCTCTCTCTCTCTCTCTCTCTCTCTCTCTCTCTCCCCATGCGCGAAGGTGCTTCTGATAGCCATGAAAGTGGTGCTTCTGACAGCCAAGGAAATGGCGCTTCTGACAGCCAAGAAAGTGGCACTTCTGACAGCCAAGAAAGTGGCACTTCTGACAGCCAAGAATGTGGCGCGGCCAAGAAAGTGGAAAAATAATAAAGCCACTCACCAAGGTCTCGCTGCACTACCGAGGTCACCGAGACAAAAAAGAAAGGGGTTGTATTTGCCCACGGTCTAGTGGAAGATTCATTCGCATTTTGCACATTTGCGGAGGAGTGGAGCAAGGGCCCAAGTAGGGGAAAGGAATGAAACTCGACCCAGAACATGGAAAGGTACGTCGCTACTTTACTTTTACCTTTTTGCCAAGGCTCTGAGACCCCCAGCCGAGGTCCAGAACTGAGCCTACTCACCCTGGACCCGACCCCCTTGTGCAGGCAAAGTTGGTCTCATTCATTCGAACATAACGCATATGCGTTGTAAACGAATGCAAGGCACTGTATGCGTCGTATTCGTTTACAACGCATATGCCTTATGTTCGGGGGAAGACGGTAGCGTCCACATGGGCCAGCCGTGTAACTGTGTTCGGGCAGCCCGTGGAGACCCCCTTGCCCTTGTAAACAGTTTCCCTGGAGCCCAAGCCGGTCTGTCTTCCCACCTCTTCGGTTTTGTGGATTGAGTGGCTAGGACCAGGCCTGGACTAGCTGACAGCGCTTTTGTTGTGTTGGGATAGGCTGTGGTTTGGGTTTTGTTCAATAATCTCTTGCTCGCTCCCGTTGGCGGGTCTGGTACCTGGGTTGTCCTTTGTGTGGATGGATCGTGTTGGTGTTTTTCTCTGGCTGAATTGAAGGTAGAGTCCTTGGGTTTTGTCTGGAGAGGGTGGTGCCACGGTCTGGAACTGTTGTGAACGGACTGAGGCAGTTTGTGCTGTGGATTACACTCGCATGAGCTGTTTTTCTCAGAGCACATAGCCAGGGGCAGGGTGCCTCTGTTGGTAAAACTTCTGGTGTCACATGACGGTTGCATGTTCGGGTCCCTGTCCCCTGATTTGTGTTCCCCTCTGCTGTTGTATGGCAGCATTGGCGTCTATTGGACGGGTGCTAAAATTGTGTGCTGCATGTAACACTCCTCTGGGCTGTAGCTCTTGGAGGGCATGGTGTCGATTGGGTCAGGAGACAAGGGTGCTTTGTAGAGGTAGTGCTTCCGGTTGTGCATGTGTGAATGTATGCCCGAGTGGTGTTCTCGGGCTGTGTTCTGTTTTCCTTTGGTTTGTTCTGTTCATCAGACTCATCTCATTGCATCTGGATTTGAACTTGGGTCTGTATTTCAACAGTTCATAGGTGTAACAACTGAGCTAAGCATGTTGGTAGAGGATGCATTCCGCTCATTTATGTTGTCGACCTCCGTGACTTGGGGCCTAGCCACACCACTCACCAAATAAAGTATGGCTGTGAATCCTCCCATGTTCTTGTGGGAAATTCATCCTCATTTTGCATATTTTAAATTTTTATTATTTTGTGAGTACTGCGGCGATGCCCTTGGTTCCCTTTTTCAGAGTTTGAAAAAGTAGTGTTGTCCCCTCTTAGCTCTTCCTTGTAAGGAAATGTTCGCGGTCCTGCGTGTTTGCTGACATTAGGTGTTTTTTTGTGCATTTCGTGCTTTTTTACACTTGCTGCAGGAAATTGGGGGCACACCAATTGATAGGGACATGGAGGGGCATTTCACTGTTAACTTTCTGCCAAAATGCCCTTCAGTAGATCCAGCCCACTGCTCATACCTGCTGTGCCTGAGGCCAAGCAGCACGGTTCCTCCGCCGCCATCAATGTTTTATCCGTCCTCGCCTTCCCAGAGGTCCACTTGCTCGTCGGCAGGGTACTCGGCCCCCTCGTCTCCTCTGCTTTGTCCGGCGCCTTTCTACCCTTTGAAAAATTCTGTCAGGCAGTCATCCTACATCCCCCTCCCTCCACACCTTCTTGAGTCTAAGGCTTTGGACCCACAGAAGCCTAAGCCTGCTGCAGGGAATGGAGCAGAACAACAGGAGAGGAGAAGGGACGAAGGGCCTTTGGCAGCAGCAGCTGATGGTTGGCTTTTGTCGAATGCAGGACGTACTCCGCAGTTGAGAACCCTGCAGCGACATAATAGTTCTGTTGAAGAAAGGGAGGAGAGGATGATAGGTGGTGGCCTTGGGTCGAGGTTGTCGTACCCTGGTTCGATAATTGTACAGCATCATCAGCATGGGCATTCATTCGCACACAGCTCTTCAGCAAACAGCATAGCATCCTCTGTGACAGGGGCTGCTCTTATGCGCAGCACTACGCTCAGCTCATCTGGGTCGATCATGGGATCGGGAGTGCCACCTCTTGGGCAGGGAAAGAAGTCTACGATGGGAGTAAATGAAGATTTCGCATTGAAAAAGACAAAGAAGAGCCAGCCAGCAGTTGTGGCGTGGCTGTCTAAAAAGCTTCAAGGAAAGAAGGTACCGTCGGCAGCGATGGCATCACCACCCGCGGCCCCATCATCAGTTGCCTCCAAGTATTCAGAGGATAGTGATGATGCACGCACTCGCAGGGCGGCAATGCGGTTAGTGGGAGGAAATGATGTTGTATGGGAGAGGAAAGCCGTGCTGGCACGAAGATGAGGTCGTTGTCTTTCATATTCTTTAACTCTTTTCATTATTCCGTTTCATTATAGCATGTATACTGTATATAGCCTGCAACAATTCAATTGTGTTTGTGGGAACTGGTGAGCAGGAGAAGTGGGAACTGGTGAGCACGAGAAGTGAACACGAGAAGTGAAAATAGTCTTGTGTTCTTTCAATTTGTCGGTGCCCTGGTGGCACCTGAAGATGATTCTAACAGCCATACTCAAGGCGAGAGAAGGGCTGCCGAGGTCTGTCTCGAGTGGTTGGCGTTGTGCTACAGCTGTTCTGGTTTCTTTTTGCTATTTTTCCCAGATGATCATCAATTGTCAACAAAGTCGGGAGCCAGGGGTAAGAACCACATGCCATGGTTGTTGGTTTGGTTGTCACAGCTGTTTGGAGGCCATGCATTCGGTGTCGGATGTTTATGTGGGTTGGCGTCGTTTGGCAATGATTCTGACGGTAGTGGTGACGCTTCATGGCCACACATCCAGTGTCGAATGGTTGTGTGCAATGATTCCGACCGTAGTGGTGAAGCTTCATCAGCCTTCTCGGCCACACATCCAGTGTAGGATGTGTGTGTGTGTTGTCGACGTTTCTGACGCTGGTGGTTAAGCTTACGACACTGACGGAAAAAACAAATGTCATGGTCGTTGGTTTGGTTGTCACAACCGTTTGGAGGCCACGCATCCGGGGTTGGATGTTTGCGTGGTTTGGCGTCGTTTCCGACGCTAGTGGCGAAGCGTCCTTGCCACACATTCAGTATCGGATGGGCTTCATCAGCCTTCATGGCCACACACCCAGTGTAGGACGGTTGTGTGGGTTGTCGACGCTTCTGACGCTGGTGGCGAAGCTTCTGACACTGAAGGAACCAAATGCCGTGGTCGTTGGTTTGGTTGTCACAGCCGTTTGGAGGCCACATATCCAGGGTCGGATGTTTGCGTGGTCTGACAATGTTTCTGATGCTAGCGGTGAAGCGTCATTGCCACAAATGGAGTATCGGATGGATGGATGGATGTTTGTGTGGGTGGAAGCTTCCGACACTGAAGGAAAAGCCAACTGGCATGGTTTCTGGTTTGGTTGTCACAGCCGTCTGAAGGCCACACATTCACTGCTGGACGTTTGTGTGGATTGGGGATGTTTCTGACGCCGGTGGTGTCAGATGGTTGTGTGGGTTGAAGCTTCCGGCACTGAAGGAAAAGCCAACTCCGATGGTTTCTGGTTTGGTTGTCACCGCCGTCTGAAGGCCACACATTCGGGGTCGCATGTTTGTGTGGATTGGCGATGTTTCCACGCTAGTGATGAAGCTTCATGGCCACACATCCAGTGCCGAATGGTTGTGTCGGTTGGTGACATTGCCGATGCTAGTGGTGAAGCTTCATGGCCTTGCTTTCTCAAGACCGCCACCTGTACATAGGGAAAGATGTGAAAGCATCACCTCATCGATAACAAGATGAGGGAGAAAAGATATCAAGTGAGCATGAGGAGGAGAATGGTGAGAAATCAGTAGTGCGGCAGAGGTAAGGGAAAACTGGGGAGGAGGATAGCAGTTATGTGGTACATTGTTGTGAGGATGACGCCAGTGGTGGACATGGAAAAAGACGGCAGTGGTGGACGGAGGGAGCAGAACAACAGAAAGGAGAGGACAATAGCAGCGAAAAGGGATGCTAGTGGCAAGAACGCCGAAAAGAACATCTATAAGGTGAGAAGCAGAGTAGCGAGAAGTAGCACATCCGTGAGGTCAAACGGTAAAACCAAGGACAAGAGAGGAGCAGGGAGCGCAGGAGCAGAAGGTGTCATGGTCAGATTTGCTGGACTACGAGGAATTGTTCTGGTTCACCAGCTGCAAACATGTCTCCACTGTTTTCTGGTCGGTCGTGCCGGGGAGGTGATGTTGTGAGATGGAGTGTTGTGGAAACATCATTTACACCTACCCTCTCGAGTTTCTTGACATCGTTGTGGCAAACGAAGAGGGACAATACTGTTTGTTCCTTAAGGGAAAAAATGATTTCCTATTTTGTCGTCGTCGGTCGTGTGGGAGAGGTAATACGGTGAGATGGGAGTGCTGTGGAAACGCCATCTACCCCTACCCTCTAGAGTCTGTTAACGTCATTGTGGCAATTGAAGGGGGACATTACTGCTTGTTTCCTTAAGGGAAAAGACTGTTTTCCTAAGTGTGAACAGTCCCCTTTAAGATGCTGATCTGTCGGAATAATCGTCTAGGCTGTTGTGTTTAATTAAGTGGCTATCTGGGTTTTGTTTTTGAGGGGCACTCCGAGAATCGAACTCGGGACTGGGTTTTGTTTTTGAGGGGCACTCCGAGAATCGAACTCGGGACTGGGTTTTGTTGGTAATGTGCATGCATGGCTTATTCGTTTGGTTGCTTCTGGCGATTGTGACGAGCCATGACCGCTGTACGAAGGTTTTCGAGAAAATTGTCATTGTCCTATGGGAGGTCAGGACAAACCAGAGGGCGACCATGCTGATCGCATACGTCTTTCGTCAGACATCTGAGTTCTGTTCTCAGGATGTGATGTCGAAGTTTATCCTCAGTACGTAAGTCCAGAATCAAGATGGTGTTGCCATGTCCATGGTGGTCAGATCTGTGGGATCGATGGCATGAATCGATCCCACTCGCAAGAATGGGGACTGGATGTGTACGCTCATCATCGGCTCATGTTCCTCGTGTGCTGCGTGTGGTCTTGAGTTTGCGAAAGCGTCCGTACAGAAGACCTCTGTTGATGGCGGCAATCTTTTTCTGACCAGCCATCAAGACTATGGAAATGGCACTCCACTTCATCGAGTGCGATGTCAGTAATTTGATGTAAGGTCATCGTCTTCTCTAATCATTTTCTGAGCGCAGATCAAGTCTGCAGCTTCAAGTAATGCGGGCATAGCCAGCCCTGCCAAACTGACTGTTCACTGCAGTGTGAAATGTTCTTTCAGCCTCACAGCGGTGGTTGTATGGGTTCATAACAACTTCGCTGTAAACATACTCACCTGCGCGTCTGTGTAGTTCAATCTTTTGTGAACTGTGGAGGGGAGAAGCTGTTGCAATGGAGCTTTGCAGATTCAAGGATGGGCAAACAACATACGCGTGTGTGTTAGAGAGAGAGAGAGAGAGAGAGAGAGAGAGAGAGAGAGAGAGAGAGAGAGAGAGAGAGAGAGAGAGAGAGAGGGGAGACCTGCACCCAGCCCGGGTGAGAAGCAGAACCTTCCTCTCAAGTGTTTGAAGAAGGGGCAGTGAATTTGGAGGGGCTGACGTGCGCAGGATGCACATCTTATGTCTCCGAGTTAAAATAATCTGCAAGGGGAAGAGAGTTTTCTCTGAGTGTTTAGAGGCAGCATGTAGGATTCAGCTCCAAGTCGAAGGGGTTTCACTCGTTAGTGAACTCTCGCCAGTTCGTTGCAGTGTTTTTTCACTTTTTAAGAGATTTTTATTATGGCATACTGTCACATGTTCCCTGCCGAAGGGAACACATGTGTCTAGCATCTGATTTAGGTAGAGGGTTTGCTTGCATCGTGAGCGAGTTATGCATTGTAGGCTGAAAGGTAAACAGAGGGGCAGGGGCGGGGGCAGGGGGGCCGGGATCAGTTGAGCATAGGCGGAGGTGAAGCGGAGAGGTAGGGGAAAGGGGGGCTGAACCCAGGGTGTGACGGGTAAACCAACCTACATGAGGATAAGCCAATGATGAGAGAGCAATGGTGACCAAGTTAATAGGGCTCGATCTGTGTTTGGGATCATTGGCAGTGCTGCTCTGTGTATTGCACATGATGAGA